ACGGTTTACTGAGACATTTCCTGAGCAACAGAATCAGTCACGTGGGAAGGACGGGGCGCAGCATCAACTCCAACGACAGCGAGCATAATTGCCCTGCATTTATCAAGCCCGTATCTGACACTGACGTGGGCGCAGCATCAACTCCGACGAAAGCGAGCATAATTGCCCTGGAATTATCGAGCCCGCATCCCACGCTGACGAACAATCTGTAGCAATTAGTATGTCGAAATCGAAAGTGTCAAGCCAGTACCGCATCAATTAAGACCCAAGCGGTGGCTACAGAAATGAACAAGTGAAGTGTCAAGCCAGTACCGCATCAATTAAGACGCAAGCGGTGGCTACAGAAATGAACAATTCTCACACACACGCGGACGACCACTAGGAACTATAAATACCGTGCAGCCTGTGCATGTCTCCACCCCATCTGCGCATGACCATGACCATTTAATCATCACCTATGATTAAGGATTCCCGAGGGAATCCGAAATGTCAGACAAACAAAACTCTTGTTCAAGTGATCACATCTTCTTCTTATGAAGTGATAATTATGTTGGAGAAATGATTCTGTGATATGTCTTAACTAGGTCCAGCGACCCGACCACATTAATGAATGACATTTTCACGAAAAGCCAAAATCAGAGCTTACGGAGTTTTCTCCCAAATATCAGCTCTACATCATTTGATTTGGATCTACTAGTATGGACAAAGAGCTTAAATTCCTTGAATTTGGCAAGATTTTGAATTCGAATAAGTTTTATTTCAATTAAACTCTCTGCTGGTTGCTCTTCAGCAATTTAGCCACCATCTGTCTGATGTGATGGATGATTTTTTAGAATTATTGATAGCAGTAACAATTAACGTGGTTGTAAAAGGCATAATAACTCGGCGGGGATTTTTAGCCGTGACCTCCATAGAAATCAGAATAAAGCGGCTGCATTAAGTTTCGCGTGACCAAATTTGACGGGAATGCATTAGGATCATCACATATGGCAGGCATCTGACGAGGCTCAAATACAAACGTTTCAAGTATACCGGGCATAACTACCTCAGCTGCAGTAGTTCCAAAGCATCGAAATGCTCAGCATGTAGCACATTGGATTCAGTTCATATTCTGTACCTCGCTATAACATTTTGGTTGATGTAACGAAATGTAAAGAGATCTTGGGAATAGGCCTACAGGTGCTACAGCGCGGATCCGATTACGGATAGTTAGAAGGGTCAACAAAATGATATTTGACCAGAAAAAGTCCTTCCAAACGAAACGCCTACTTTCCATTCATTTACAATCCTAACAACTTAATGCTATGGTCAAGCAATTGAACGAAATAAATGGACCCAGTGATTTCTTTTGTCTACAAACTAAACCTGTGACTCTTCTATACTATGTAGCTGCTATTTCCTGTTCACCTTTCATTACTGAAAGTGTTAGGTAGATTTATAAACTATTGTTTTGGCCGATTATTTTCAGCTAGTCCTGTAAAGAATTGCAATGCCCATATGTTTCGCTCAAGATTAAAGCACGACCTTTATTGATATAAATAAAGAAAATGTGTTTTGCAACGGCATCCACACCTTTGTCAGACTTTGTCCTCTTCTTCTTTCATCCATCTACTGTGATCTCTATTTCTTTTCATTTGCCGGTGTTTTGCCTGATGAAGTTTGTGTCTTTCCGGATAAAAAGGGAGAGGATGCCATCCGCCATCGCATTCTAAAACAAAAAGGGGTATTTATACTTCTCGGGCCTGGCATACATGGCACATTTTAACAAAAGGCCTTAAATGATTCCTCTGTGACCTAGGAGTAGCGAATGAACCTTTCCGAAGGCGTATATTTAAGTTTGGCGAGTTAAGCTTAATTCCGGGTTTAACAACACCTCACGGGGAATTCACTGCCAACGAAGACCGGAAGTGAGACATTCAGTCGTGTTTTGCACGGTTGTCTCAAAACCTACATTTTGAATTTTCTTCTAAACCAAAATGTGAACTATGCTGCTTGTAATGGTGTCTTTATTACATTCGTATTTTATCACTGTACCTCTCGTGGCATTTAGTCTGGATATATTGTTAATGGAGTGTGGGCCTACAAGTAAGTTGCGAAACTATGATTGCTTCTAAATAATAAATTTCTTTAGAAAACAGATACAAGATCCTTCTATTTTTACTTTAACTCAGGCAATAAGTGCTCGTGAGCCATAGGAGAAAAGGCTTGCTAGATGTGTCAGAGAACCCATTTGCCTAAGCACACCTTCCCCTTAACTCTGAAATAAACCAGGTATGAGGTAGAAGCGTGTACTATATCCCTAGCGGCTCTATGGTAGCCTCCTTGGACGACATAAAATTGATCTCTAAAGGGAAATAATCAACTTACGGGATCGTAAGAAATCGGTTCTGTGCAGACTGCTCCGTTTGATGATGCAAGTGATTTCAATTCTTCGTTAGATATGAGGCTCCTTTCAGTGCTTCCACGATATTCGAGGCCAACAGTGGCTTACATGAGATAAGCATTGGGTGACTTTCTTTTGGCAGCGCTCATAACTTACGTTTAAGTTAAATAAAATAGGCCAACCCTTACCTTTTCCTCGAGAAAAGTGTAGCTTTTCTGGTCACGTATGTCGTAAGCACAGAGGATGCCGTCGTAGTCACCCCCAGGCGCCACATCTTCGGGTCCGCTCATTCCATTCTCGACGTTAATAGTCACTTCGGCACCACCAGTGGCAGTTTTCAATCGTCCGGCCTATTAAGATTAAGGAAAAGGTAAGTTTGGCGTGTTTTCTTACCTGAGACACCACTTCTTGAACTGTAGCTTCGTCACCACAGACTGCGATTCTCTTCGTCACGGCCATGGTTCTATCATGGCTCTCATTATCCTTTTGTTTTCCTTTGTCTTTCTTGCCTTTTTTCTCCTTCGGTTTCTTGGCCTTTTGGGGCATAATACTTTCTCCGCAGTTGTGCCGTTTAGGTTGGCCTTTAAGTAGATCTGGCTGATTATGTGATAGAGGACCGAAACGGGATGAGGGGGAGCCATGTAGTTCATTGGGAGACTATCTAATTGGTTCATCTGTTTCAATTGCTCTGTTCACAACACACAACTCTTGTGTTTTACCGACCAATCGCAGCTTTTATTGAGCGTTTGCCGTGCACATGGCTGTTTTTTGGTGAAAAAGTGATGGAAGCTAAATGATTCAGATAATCTTGACTGTCACTCCTCATGGCTCACGGGGAACGCAGAGTTTGCCCCGCTGGATCAAAATAATTAGTCTAATGTGCCAAAATTTCGATTTCTAAACATTATATAAAACTTCAGCAGCGAACCCATTTTCACACTACAAGAATTTATACCTAGAAATTCTGAGGTTTTTAATGTCCTTTTACCGTACAAGCTGCAAACTCCAAAGAACGGAGACTTGCGCAAACGTTAGTCATATGCGACATTTTCCGTTAACAGCAGATATCCACAGTCCCAAACTCTAGGTGACCCCCTGGAAGGTATTTATAGAATTGGCAACTTATAAACCTTGTATTAAAGGCTAACGGAAATCCCCGTAGAAAACTCCCCCACAAGTGTTATTCTCTGTGATTTCACGTAGCCCAGACAGTTAGTATGGACCTGAGATTTTAAATTAAGTAACGAAGAGCCCAGTAAGTTAGGTAGAGTCCAGTAATGGTTGTCAGGCTAATAGATAATATACTTTTCCCCCTCTACAGACATCTGGAACTCCGGATTTTCTGGGCTGCAGAAAACCCTTTTTAAGACTCGTTGTTTAAAAGATATGCAAAGGGTGCTTAAAAAATTCTTAAATGTATGTTTCCTTATTTAGAAATAGCGAGTAGTATGTCAATAGACATTTCAGAGGAAGATCGTTCATTCACTGGAATTTGAGCTAATTTATGTCTTTTTAAAGTTCTGATCGGATAGCGAAGGGATCATCGCAACTGGTTATTTATAAAAATCATGCCATCTGAGTTGTTATTTCAAGATCTGTCTGGTTTCCAGGCAATCATGCAGTTCCTAGTATGTGGAGGAATGTTTGACCTGCGGCAGAGCTCGTAACAGACTACGGGTGAAGTAAAACCTGTAGGCCGATTTCTTTAAATACACGGGAAGCCTTACACATTAAGGCAAACGAGGGGACCATAAAGAATAATATTTCATATTTAAGCAAGAAACCTTTCTCTGCCTCAGTAGGGTTTGAAAAACCAAATGTCACCAAACAAGACCTCTCTAGGATGCAGCCAGTGATTAATAACCCGTCATCGCCTAGGTTCTTTCGGTGACAGAGCTCATTGATGCAGTATCTACTGAGACAACAAGTTAGACTGTCGCCTGTCGAAGATTAACTGATACTGACAAACGGAGGACATTATCTTACTTTAATTCCGGTTAACTTATCGCAGTGGCTTAAGTTAATAGGGAAAGCCACTTGCCGCTGCGCCTTTCAGGCCCGGTTCCGTGTGAGAATTAAGGAAGTGGGACGACAAGTTGGAGAAATACTATGCTCTATCCAGAGCTAGTACATAATAGATTGGAAAAAGTTGGCAGCTGGACGAGCGTGCGTCCGCAGTCGTGAGGGACGGAGTCAATAGTGTGAGAGCGCAGAAGTCATGTAGTGCCTCCAGAAAGATAGTATGTAAAACAGCCTCAGGAATATGATGATTCAGACCAGATTGAGACTGACAGACGCTGAGAATTAATTCAGCATAATAAATTTCGGGGTCCGATACCTTTCACAATGTCCCTATTTGAATATAGGAAACAATTCTGGTTGAAAAACTTAACGATGTTTGAGATATTTACATATATGCAAGCCGTCAAAATTCCAGAAACTTAACGGAAATCCTAGAATGTGTGGAGAGTATCATTAAAGTGCTCCACAGTGCTTACTCTCACAGAAGATATCGTGCAGGACTACGAGCAAGAATTGTTTCTGTTTGACAAAAATAACTAATTCATTATTTCATCTTGCATTCCCCCCCCTTCGTTCTTGCATACGCTTGCTTCTTACTCTCGGAACGGATGCTCAGGTATTTGATATTCGGTACGAAGACACGCAAAAAGAAGTTGTTATAACGGCTATAATATTACATATGCTGATTTATTGGTGCTACAGAGTTTATGTATTCACTCGCTATGCATGCCTAACAAAGATCATTAAGATATTTTCAAATGCTCGCATTTATAGAAGGCGTTTTATTTGGCTGTGTTCAGTTGGTCGGAGGGATTTCCCATAAATTTTGAGTTTTTTCTCAAGTAAAAAGAGGTTGAAGAGAACCACAAAGTACAGATGGTAAAAATATCTGCTTGTTTTAACTGCAGTTTCAAAAATAGCAGTGATGGAAGGCCTTAACCAGTCTTTCATATTCGTTGAGATACTGTATTTGCTAAACAAAAATTATACTTCTTGACCACTAAGATTTACGTGCTATCTTTATATGTTTCAATTTTTGCAACCACATATTAATCGTTATGCTTTACCTCTCACTGACCTGCAGTAAAACACTCAATGTCGGAAGACTTTAGGCGCCTCGTGAAGAATATAAAACCAAATTCCAACAATTAAACAAGCGCAGGCATTTCATAGGTTTTGGACATAATTGTATCACACTGGGAGAAGTGAAGGATAGCTGAATGTACTAGCAAAACAGTATATACGAATGGGAGTTTAGAGCTGAAAGTTAAGTGGCAAAATTTGTATGTCAGTTTAATTTAACACGCCCAAAATACATATTAATTCCGGGAAAATACACAATTAGTGGGAAAGCGAAGAAGGGGCTTCAATCACTAGGATAGGAATTCCATTCATCTGGAGTTTCAAGTTCAGTCTTCCACCCAACATCAAACACCCCCTTAGATATAGGTGAAGAACGCAAGGATTGTCATTTCCTCAAATGCACAGGTGTAGTTGAGTCTAGTAAAGTCGACTACGACTTCTATTTGGATGCCATCCTTTACTGTTTATGCTTGTTCGATCAGCCCTGTTTTTTGCCTGCAACAATGACACATTTGGAAGCTATTTCACTTCAGTCAATTCGGTTCCCGATTCACTGCACGGATCCGCAAAATTTCGATAGACCACCAGTTCGTAACCTCGCTGGCGGACGATTGTGCTATTACCGCTTTGAAACCCAGTACTTCTGTCGTATCTGTCTCTTGCTTGGAAACTCTGATTTTTACAGCATTACCTTTTTGCAACGGACAACGACGTCAAGGAAGGTCCCTTGATTGTTCTTCACATCCTCTATCGTGATTTATCGGAACAAGGGGCATTCCAGCATCCAATTCTTCCGACGAGGAAAATAGTGTCGTTCACGTACCGAGACAAGCAGTTCCATCCTAGCTATGATGCCCAAATTCGTTAAAATCATTGGAACTCCTTTCTCCTTTCGTCAAACGTCAAGCAAGTCGAGACAGAACCTCCGGATTTGATAAATGTGGGTATTTTAAAGGCGATTATCTGTTTTATAGTATTTATTCAGGTTAAATGATACATTGTCAATGTAAGTGAACATATGACTCCCAGGAAGCTATTGAGAATAAGAAGAAGATGCGATCACTGGGAGATAGTTTTTATTCACCTGACGTTCTGACATCCATCGCAAATTTTTCATCATCTGCTACTGTTTTCTGCTGATGTCTCTGGTGAAGAATCCGCGACGGATGTCTAAACATCAGGCGAATGAAAGTCTGGTGTCGGCGATCGCATCTTCTTCTCATACACGATACATCCTGGCAGCACAGGAACTAGCCAAAAACCAAGAGGTCTGTTTCGCATGCCGCTGTTTGACATGGCAGCGATAGTTGCGGATCACAGACGGGTTCCTCAGCGTTTCCTGTGTGTTTTCTGGTAGGTACACGAGGTTAAAACTTGTTGCTTGATTATTTCCGCCTCTGACTTCCAGTAAATCCACCTGCAGCAAGCAAGTGAACTTTTGGTCTGCGCCTATAATATACTTAGCAATTAATTTCCGACAACATATGAAAGCAGCCCTTTCAGCGCATTTCTTATACAGAAGTAAATTGATAATCTCGACCGCCAGCTTTTCGGAAATAGAAGCAAAGAGGGGCATGCCCTCGGAATAGGCCTACTTTTTGAAGCTTATTTTGAAGAACTGACTGTGGATTGTTAATTAGCATTCAGGACGCAAAAACTATCGATTTGCTATCCTTACTCCGGTGAGCCTTTATATTATGCCGTGGAATGCGAAAGCCTTTTCTGCGCGCTGTGAACAGACAACGAAAGTGGGCAAGGGTTTTGCAGTGGACTGTCATCACGCGCCGTTCGATTGGCATACGCTATAGCTACGTTAGAAACATATGAAACAGCGTAGTATTTTTTATATAAGCCCCCTCTGTTATAAAAACATAGGCTGGCCTGGTTTGGTCTACTATGTAATTGCTATGGGAAGTAACCCTGCGTGTGTAAACTATGACATTTATATAAAGAAAGGTTTGTTTTATTATGCTTTTTGATGCTCAACTTTCATTTATTTTCTGCAAATATTTCCATGTTAAACCTGAAAAGTTTTTTCGGCAAACATATGCTTCCGGCAATTCCTCATCAAGCCTCTACAACTGCAGCGATAATGAAAATCATACAGCTGGACAGGGTTAATAAGTGCCTTGTGGTTAAAACTTAGCATTCTCATGCCGCCCACATGGCGAGATCGGCGCTTAGGAGGAAGGAGGTGTGAGGGGTGGTGGAGGCGATAAGATTAGGACAGGCTGTGAGCATTTTTCGTGGGCCGGGTACGTGGAGCGAAAATGAGTGTACAGTAGTCGCCGGTCGACATGCCAAGCAAACCCGACAAAACTTTCATCTCCTGCACTACGTGTGTGGTCGTACAAGCTTGTACGAATTGCTATAGCATCCTGTTTCGGTCAAAATTAAAGCACAAATTTTATTCATAAAAATCATGCAAAGCAGTTTAGGTTTACATCTAGGTCTTTTTCCGGCGTCCGCACTTTCTTTTCGGCTTTTTCTCTTTTTCCCCTTTTTTCTCTTTCTTATCCTTCTTTTTCTTCTTTCCTCCATCGCCAGCTGTCTCCACATTTGTTGGGATGTTGGAGTTTTGCCTCACAGAGTTTGGGTCTGTCCGGAGAAAAAGGGCGAGGATGCCAGAAGCCATTTCATTCTGAAAGAAAAGGGCACCCATAAATACAACTATACTTCTCAAGATTGGCACATTCGGCAAATTAAAAAAAGCGCTAGATATGCTTCTCCAGTGACCTGAGAATAGCGATAGAACCCCTGTTTGGTAGACAGTAAAAAGGCGTATATTTAATTTCACTGAATGGCAGTACCTTAGGTAAACTTCCTTTTAAGTTCGTCACAGTTTTGCGGATTGTTCATTGCCAACGCAGACCTATGGTTGGCATTGAGTCGTACTTACCACAATTATATCAGACTCCCCATATTGCGTCCTATTCTTCATCAAAACGCAGACTAAGATGTTTTTAATGTTTCTTTAGAACATTAATATTATGCCATCGTACCACTCTTAAAAGTTAGCCTGGACATATTCGCAATGAAGTGCCCAGTGACAACTAGTTTTCGAAAATACGGTAATTCCTACATATGGAGTCTTTCATGAAACAGATATGTACTTATTAGATGACTGATTAAATCAAGCAATAAGGGCTCGAGGAGTGCATGATAGAAAACTCTACAGACGTGAGGGCAGCAAATATCATTTTAGATTTCAAGGAGTCTTTCCAAACGTGCCTCATAACAAAAAAGAATGATCAATGACACAATTAAGGAGGTAGAACTGTGTACTATGTTACTACCTGCTATATGTTAGCGTTCCTGAACCGATTAAAATTTAGTTTTTAATAAATTCAAAGACAAGGAAATAATCAGCTTACGAAATTGGAAGAAATTAGTTCTGTGCAGGAGGCCCCATTTGCTGATGCCAGAGATTTCAGTTCTTGGTTCGGTACGAGTGGCCGCTCTGCGCTTCCACGATATTCGAGGCCAACAGCGGCTACCATGAGATAAGCATTGGGTGACTTGCTTTTGGCAGCGCTCAAAACCTGCGTTTAGGTTGATGAAAATAAGCCAGCCCTTACCCTTTCCTTTAGAAAATTGTAGCTCTTCTGTTTGCGTACGTCGTAAACACACAGGACGCCATCATAATTACCTCCAGCTGCAACTTCGGCTCCGTTCATTCTATTCTCGACGTTCATGGTCACTACGGCACCATCAGTATCCGTTTTTAATTTTCCTGACTATAAGGATTTAGGAAAAGCTAAGGTAGGCGTATTTTTCTCACCTGAGCTATCACTTGTCGGACTGTAGCCGCGTTCCCACAGACGGCGATCCTCTTCGTCACTTCCGCGGTTCTATCTTGCTTCTTAACACCTTTTTGTTTTCCCTTGTCTTTCTTGCTTTTCTTCTCCTTTTTCTGCCTCTTCGCCTTCTTAGGCATGATGACTTCTATGAAAGTCAGCCGATTAGGATAACTTTAAACTAGATCTAGTTGACTCTATAGGAAAGGATAAAAATGGGGCGAGAAGATGCCATGTGGTTCATTTCAAGACTATCTTATTCGTTCATGGGTCTCCTTCTCTCCATTCAACAAATTTTTTGTTTATTCGATCTACCACTACTACTGATCGGAGTTGTTATTGCGCAATTTTTTGCATGCTTGGGTTCTTGTGTTTAGGTGCCTAAAGGCCCCTGCAATCATGAGTCAGATGTTATTGATCTCAGGAGGAGGGAAGAACTACTTGTGATCTGTCTCCTACGTAGTTTTCGTCATCAGAAGTACACTCACCATTCAGGCCAAAGTGAAAGCCCATTATGGCGTTCAATGTGCTTAAATAATAAACTATCCCACGTAAACGTTTGCTTTGTTTGTTGCTGCCTTCATATTCCCACGAATTTCTACCAAAAGTTGAATGTGATTTAGTCGTCCCAGTGGGAATAAAACTCATGTGTGCGAGGACACGTATTGGATAAATCCAACCGGAATTATGAGATAAATCGCATTTTGTTTAATTTATTCTATCAACCTACTGCACTATATGCGATCTTTCAGTTTTAATACAGTAAGCTGACTGCGCAAACGGGGTTACCCAGCAGTTAATCTAGAATCCAGCAGACGACTACGAGGCTCAATTAATTAACGTGGCCAAACTCCTGACTAACGGTCGGCACCATTTGACTCAAGTATTTGGAGCGTTGGTTGTACTCAGACCTCACCGGCATCAGCGAGTTTTTTACCGAGTGGATCAAAGTAATTATTCCAATCTGCAATATATATCTTAATAACGATTAAATAAGACTACGCGAGAGAGCACATCAACTCAGTATGGGCATTCGGGCATGCGAAAACTGGTGTATTAGAGTGGGTGATTGTTACGAAGTCCTTTGAGTGTGATTCTTGATCGACACAAGATTCCAATATTTTCTGAAAATATCCCCATATTTAATTTAAAAAGTTTGATTTGGCAAACGTATGGTTGCAGCAACTCTTCATCAGGCCAGCGCATTTGCAGGGATAAGGGGATAAGCAGGGATAAGCAGCTAGAATACGACGGATCTGCTCTCCAGAATCAGAATTGCAGCAGCTGTGAACACGCTTTTTGAAAATGGATACCTAGAAAGGTTCATCTTCAGAAATATTGACGAACGCGCCAAAAAAGCCTGCTACCTTAACCGCAGAAAAGAAGGATGTGTTCATAAGACTGCCTTTCTTGGGCGGTGCAAAAAAGCAAACTGGTAAGGCGCCGCCTGAAGACTGGGAACACAAGTTCCCAGTCGAACTCTCCCCTGCTACGATTGGGAGGTGAAGATCGACTCCCGTTGAAGGCCACATCCACGTACATTTACTCTTTCACTTGTTCCTATGGAGCGGCATACATCGGCCGAACACCAAGGCGCCTGGAT